AAGTTACATTCCCTCATTCGCAAAGTAGCATCCAGACAGAACGCACTCCTGATCAGCTTCGTATTCATGGTTACATGAATGATGGCAGAGGAGGTGGAAAGAACATAAATCAGACTGGCTTCACTAGGCTATTTGAAGCTGTATTACTCATTGCAGCTTTCCCCTTAGCAAATTAACACAAACACGCATGCAGAGGCTCTCCCCAGACAACACGCAAGTGCAAAGTAGCATCCAGACAGAACGCACTCCTGATCAGCTTCGTATTCATGGTTACATGAATGATGGCAGAGGAGGTGGAAAGAACATAAATCAGACTGGCTTCACTAGGCTATTTGAAGCTGTATTACTCATTGCAGCTTTCCCCTTAGCAAATTAACACAAACACGCATGCAGAGGCTCTCCCCAGACAACACGCAAGTGCTTCTGTGAGACAAAGCTTCACCTTCTTCTCATGCGCCTATTTGCCTGTGTGCTTTTGTAGAATTGGTTTAAAACTGTACGTCTTGGCTGCGTCTGAATGGTACAAACTAGCATTGCAACTTCAGCCCTCATTTTGTTCATGGTATAAGAAATGAGCATCAGGGATCCGGCTATTACAAATAGTCACACTCCTGGGGAAATTACCAGGCCCACGTATCTCTGTTCCGCAGATCATGATAATCACATTGGGGTTGGTTAGCCATCAGGAAAGCTTGTTAATCCAGCTAGGCTTGTCACGTCCTTGCCATTCAAAATGCTTACCAGGCTCGCCTAGTTTATAAGACTCTCTGGATTTCACGAGTTTCCTCATTTGGCATTTTGTGCCAACGTTTATAACACAGACACGATGTTTATCTCCTCAAATGGATCATTTTAAATCTACCAAAAGTAATAATTTAACCAATATGGGACGCAATTCTGTACATATTTCTCCAGTGCCATTCTGAACTGACTTCACTGGACCTACGGCTGATTTACACTGATGCAAGAGAACCCAGGTCCTCTTTAAGGCTGACGGGTCCCCCAAAGAAAGGATCTCTGCAGGGCATAATACATACACAGAAAACAGCAATAGATCTTCCTTTCCTTCACCTATTAGTAGTAGTTGTAATTATTTCTGTTATGGAAGCGTCCAAAGGCTCCAATCAAGATCAGGTCTCCCTTGTGCTATATAATCCCAGAGGAAGACAAGGGTCTCTCCTGAAGAGTTTACAATCCAAAAATACAAGACAGAGAAACAATACACAAAGTTCAAACAATGTGTCTGAGATGATGTTCTGTAACACTGGGTACATGCCTTGTTAGTGACAGCCCTTCCCCTCTCTCTTTCTAGGTGCTTAGCCAGTCTGCTATCTCAAAGTGTCCCCTTCCCTA